AGTAATGACAAAGAACATATTTTAACTTAGATGTACTGCTGAAGTGCTACATTTCACTTCGAAAGCAAAGAACTAATGATAATTGCTGCTCTTGTATATTATGTATGCATTGTTAGTCGGAATAATATAAAGACTGGCTAAATATACTATTAAGCCAGTAAGCGTAAACTGATCAGGCCTTAACTAATTTCTGGGATTGAAACGTTATTTTAGAAGTGATAACTTTTAGTACAGTCCCAATAAAAATGTTATCAAAATTCAATACTATCTATTGACATGAATAGTTGGAAAGCATTTCCTTATTTATCGCGTTTACTCGAAGCTTTGCAAACAAGTTCAACAAAACTTGACTATTCGTTTTACTAAACTGGACATTATTTTGGGTAATAGGGGGAATCACTAACAGCCTCTTATTATTGATCCCTGACATCTTGGGCAAACAAGAAATAATGCAAACGCTACATAATCATTCCACTGGCTTACTAACAAGCTCATCAGTGGTGTCATGCGTCAAAATAAATAGATAAGTGGATTATTCCAGGGTAGATTTCTCTACTAACCGTTAGTGGTAAGACAAGTTTTTGTAACTAAGGTGCACTGTACAGCTGTTTCTTCCTAGTTTGGGCCCTTTCCACAGTACACACCTCTAACTACACCATGGATCAGAAATCGGGCCTTCAGATGCCGTTATGCCTGAGAATTGAGACAAGTCAGAAGTTAGGGTTCGAAACTCATGGTGCTGAGTTCGACTCTTAATGAAGCCATGGTTAGAAGTTCCTGAACTTGGAAGAAACAGCTATTCAGTGTTCTCTGGTTTTTACTGAGATAGATTTGTGACAAAATCTACTTTAAATTCAATAGAATGACCAAAAACGTAACACTTGAAGATAATAAATAAAATTCAATTCATTGTGGTCAGAAGCAAATCTTCTGACACGCCTTTTGTTACTTTCGAGAGTAAGTCTGATAGGGCATCAGTCATTTCAAACATCTGAAACTTATCCGCTCCACTGTTGAATCATAGGAGTGTAAATTTTTTAAAATTATCTTTAGTTTTATGGAATTCCAAGGTTTACCGCTACTTACTTTAGTGACAGGACCTGCATGTCCTTTGGTCGTGTATGATTGTCCTCTGACGTGAACATGCCCGGCTGATAAGTATTGAGTACAACTGAACGACCATTATGATAACCAGATAATATAAATTTGTGGCATTCCTCAAGGTGTATTTTGTATGGAACTAATTGCATACGTAATGTAAACTGCGATGATCACTTTCCGGTTAGTATTTGAGTTATGATGTTACTAGCTATTCTTCCCGATTCCAGCAAAAGTGGCCTTGCATATAAACCAGAAGAAATTCAAGCTTCTCAAAAATACCAACATCCTTTCGACAACGATTCTGATAGAACCGACCATACGGGTTCACAAATGGCAGAAATTTTTGGCGTGAAGTCTCAATCTAATTCATCATGTCAATCTAATACTGGCATAAAAATTGCTCCACGAAGTATACCTCCGTCAGCAGCACCAAATGCTGCACGTGAAGGGGTTGGAATGGCTGAGCGGTTCGGTTTAATTCAAGTTCAACAATCTTATGCTGGAGGTGATAGTGATGAGATCTTCGATGTAAAGTCTAAAGCTACTGAGTCTTCAGATATGTGGCGAAATGGCATTGGGCCACGTGTTAGATATGAGGTTTGTCTTCTTGTATAAACATTTTTACAAAGTGTAAATATCTTCGTACTGGTGTGACTAAATGTGTAGAAGGTTACAGCCTATGCAAAACAAGCATCTCTCTTGGTTGAATATTTAGTGATCGACTTCTTAACCTTTATGCGCTATGTTCAACAGATTAGAGTTCACTCTTCGATGGGAATCATTTACAGCTAGTGATGAAGTATCCTAAACTTTAACAAGCCAACTACTTATTACTACTTGGTTTCAATCACCATAAAGGATAAAAGTTGAATGAGAATGTGTAAAATGAAAAATTATAAAATTCTTAGAATACTGAAAAGGACAAACCTGAACATATTTACCCAGCATAATTATCATGTTGGGCTCTAGCACATACATACAATAGAATTATTATTATTATTATTATTATTATTATTATTAATTTTACACATTTTGAAAATTGAAGTCAGACAGCTGAAACTCAGTCTATCTATACTCCAAAGCATTTAGCTGCTCAAGCCAATATTCTCATACACCATCCACACCACCTGTAAGTATATTCACATGGCACTTTCGAACCAACCATGTTTTCAGACAGCATTGGACTGATGATAGAGGCTTTTTGCCAATGGAATAAAGATGTATAGCCTGAGGTTCATGAATCCAACTTTATGAAAAGAATTCTTTGGTTTCAAGATTTGTTCTCGATAAACATCTAATGTCGACAACACATTCAGTGATCAATCCATCTTTCCATGAAACAATATAAGTCTCCAGGACTTTAGTTAATTTCCACACTACGGTGCTTAGTGGTGTGAAGATACCTATAGAGGTGACTTAACTCAAAGACGTTTACAACTGTAAGTCTGATTGACCTTCAGCAGACTAGTTCAATGCACAGCCTTGACCTCACAACTGTTCTATAGTATTCAGTGGATTACATAATCATGTCTTATTCGATCTATATGATTTCAGATCCAATGAAGTTACTGTGAGTAAATTTGTAGATATGAGTAGCAATTTAATGTTAGTTTTATTTAAAACTCTAGAAAGCATGAACAATGTTCATTTCTTTATATTATTATAATATCATGAAGGTATTGGTTTCCTCTGCGTAATGCTGTTATAATTGCCTGTATTTTCCTCTAAGTTCTTATGAATTTTAGACACAACTATTAAGTAGTGAGTGAAGTTTAATATGTATAAATCTCAGCGACTGTGAAACAAATAATTTCAAAGTCCCGTTCAGTTAACTGGTTTAAACTTCGTTCGAGAAATAATCAAAATTAAAATATGCGTATATGTAATTGGCAGAAAACAAGATTTTCTTCAGACTGTCTGAATTATGTCTGAATAATGAATGAGTAGTCATCAAAACACGTACGAAATCGTTCTACATGAAGATTGACTGTAAACACCATGTGTTGTCGCGCCAGCTTCTTGTGGTATAGTGAGGGTTTCCAGTCAGTGAAATTGTTTGAACAGAAATAATTTCTAATAAAATTGCACAAGATTTTGTCAAGAGTGTAGAAGAATGTGAATTTTTCAAGTGGCGTGTGACTGGCATGGTGTGACTGTGGTGCTCCTTACACGTTGATTTTAAGAGTTTACGTTCCAGTTGAACTATGCTGAAATCTCGCAACTCTAAGAGGACAGAAATAATTAGAAGGCGATAATTTCTGTAGAAATGGTTTATTTGTTGTTACAGCTGTCCTGCTTTTTGACACAGGTTCATTATATGGAGACTTCATTCATTTCAATGATTACTAAGAATTTTCACGGCTTTATCTTAAGTGTCTGACTTACTGATAGGATCCCACACACTTTGTTATTGTTCAATTATCTTAACGACTGTTAATCTCGCATATGTTGTATATCATCAATTCCCACACACTTTGTTATTGTTCAATTATCTTAACGACTGTTAATCTCGCATAAGTTGTATATCATCAATTCCCACACACTTTGTTATTGTTCAATTATCTTAATGACTGTTAATCTCGCATATGTGGTATATCATCATTCCCACGCATTTTGTTATTGACTATTACGACCAATTATTTCAAATACTGTTAGCTGTCTCTATTGGTTGTAAAATTGTATAAATACCATTTCCTAAATAAGTGTATTTGTCGTCGTTGTTGTAGTCGTCGTCGTAGTTTGTCGTAGTTGTTGTACTACAATACACAGTCACAGAACAGACTTTGTCTTTTGATATTTGCGTGATTCGCTGAATCGGAAGGTACCAGAAGCAGATAGATATATTAGTCAGGCGCAGACAGAACAAGGCGACAACGTCCTCATTTTAATTCCCCCGTACAGTTACAACAAATTGGCGACGCGGTTTATCTCAATTCATTACGGTTATAACAAATTGGCGACGGGGTTTTACTTTCATTCATTGCAGTTATAACAAGCAAGCGACGACGTGTTTTATTCTGTTCAGCGCATCTATAGAACATTTTTGACTGTGTTAATTACAACCCAATTACAATGTCTATCTCTTTGGACGATCTCAAATCCATCTTGCAGCAGCAGCAACTTCAGAATGAAGCAGCTCAACTTAAATTAATCGAAGCTCTCACTCAGAAGCTGTCAATTCAAGTTCCATCAACATCTCATTCAGACAAATACGAAAGCACCTCAAATTCCATCAGTGAATTCAACTACGACCCAATATCTGGTCTCGTATTTGATGCATGGTTCAATCGTTATGAAGACGTTTTTCGTATTGAATGCCACATGTTTGATGATGCTGCCAAAGTCCGATTGTTACTACGAAAACTTGGTACTGTTGAGCACAACAGATATGTTAACTTCATTCTGCCTAAGAACCCACGTGAATTATCATTCGATGAGACAGTCACCGTTTTATCACAAATCTTTGGTGAACAGTCATCCATGTTTAATATCTGGTATCAATGTTTTCAGTTGACAAAAATGCCTTCCGATGATTATGTTACTTACGCTGGCAAAGTGAACAAAGAATGCGAAAGGTTCAAACCACACGAAATGACATCAGATCAGTTCAAGTGTTTGATTTTTATTTGTGGGTTGAAGAACCCTGAAGATACTGACATAAGAACTCGACTTCTGTCACTCGTGGAACAAGACCCAAAAATGACTTTACAAATGGTGACAGCAGAATGCCAACGCTTAATCAACTTCAAGCACGATACTGCTATGGTGGAGTGCAAACGACAGTCGTGTGAATTTGGTTCAGTTAACACAGTGAAAAGTCCCCCGATCACCGTTAAGCACACAGCACGTCAGTCTCAGAATTCAGCTAAACCTCCTTCAGTGTGCTGGCACTGTGGTTCGTGGCATTTTGTCAAGTTCTGTCTTTTCAAGAAACATAAATGCCGTAATTGTCACCGTTTTGGACATAAAGAGGGTTACTGTCCACCACAGAAAAATTCTTCGGTGAAGAACAGAAGTAGTCGTTTCAAGCCGAAACAATCTCCTCTAATACAGACCATTTTCACAACTTCCAAAGTCGATTTCGCCAGCAAACGTAAGTACATTACACTACGTATTAACAGCAAACCTATTCGTCTTCAGTTGGATACGGCATCAGATATCACTTTAATTTCCCGAACTACGTGGCGCAAACTTGGTTGCCCACAGATTCTGCCGACCGAGCATGTCGCTAAGAATGCCTCTGGAGATATACTGAAACTCGTGGGTGAGATAAATTGCCAGGTTCAGTTTGGTGAGAATCAGTTCATTATGGGTAAATTTTTATTTTGATAGAGTCTCACAGTGTTATACAGTAATATTTACTGATGACGTTTCGAGCACAATTTATTGCTCATAATCATATCAAGTTAATCACACGACTTCCTAAATTCATTTATATAGTTCCATTGTTTTTCACTTGATTTGATTGGTAGTATTATTTTCCATATCTCGGGTATGAGTGATGATTCATTCCTAGTGCATGTGTTGGGTGTAGATTCGATGAACAAAGATTCAGTAATCAACCTCTCTCTCCACCTACCTAGATTACTTTTTAGAATTTTAACCCTCTCCCACCCTATTGTGTGGTTGTGTGTTAATGCATGCATTGCAATTGCCGAGCTTTTTTCTAAATTACTTATCTTCTCTGGGTCAACCATTCTTACCTTAGCTAAATTCTTATGTTCTGACAATCTGACTACCCCTGACCTACTAGTTTGACCTATGTAGTTGACCTCACAGTCATTGCAGGGTATTTTGTAAATTATATTATTTTGTCTAATTGGGTCTACTGGGTCCTTTAACCTACAGAGCTTGTCCCTGAGTGAGTCTGTAGGTTTAAATGCCACCCTAATTCCTGCTTTATTTAGAATCCTACGTAGGGTCTCAGATGTCCCCTCTTTATATGGTATAACTGTAGATGACTTATATTCTCTCTTATTTATGTTATTATTACTAGTTTCACAATTATTTTTATTTTTCCTTTGGCGTTTTTCAATCTTCCTAATGAATTTTAAAGGATAGTTATTTAGAACCAACGCCTCTTCTATCTGTTTTATTTCATCATTTAGGTCTTTCTTTGTGCTACTTAGTGCCATTGCTCGGTTTGTTAAACACTTAACTAAGCCTGCCTTAACAGTTAAAGGATGAGACGAATTGAAATCTAAATATCTATTAGAATGAGGAAACCAGCAAGTGGCATCACTAGACAAGCCCTCGAGTGGAACCCGAAAGGGAAGCGACGAGTTGGTCGTCCAAGGGTGACCTGGAGGAGATCATGTGAAGAGGAGATGAAAGGATGTGGGCAGACCTGGAGCCAGGTGAAAACTCTACCAGAAAACCGAACGCAATGGAGACGCACGGCTGAAGCCCTATGTTCCTCTAGGAATTAAGGGACACAATAATAATAATAATAATAGAATGCGTTGGTTTTCTATAAACACTAGTGTGTAGTTTACCTTCTTCTATTCGTTTTATTTTACAATCTAACATAGCTAATTCTCCGTGCTCATTTTCGGTTTCAAATGTGAATTTTATTCCCTCCACTAGTGAGTTTATGTGTGTCAAGAAGCTAGAGATATGTTCTGTTTTTAACACTGTGAAAGTGTCATCCACATATCTCCACCATATTTTTGGAGTAGGATTTTTCAAAGTCAAAGGATGGTAAAGCAGACTAGTTGTTTTGTGTTGTCACGTGACTGACTATTCAGCGGTACTCGCTATTTAAATCTTGAAAACAAATTTAAATATTACTTCTATTCTGTCAGATAACCTTAATGACAATAATAATAATAATCTACTTTATTCCGAAAACAGTACTTATAATGCAGAGTTGAATTCTCAGCATTTGTCACAATATTGCATCTGATTCACTCAAAATATAAATAAATAAATAAAAATATAAATAAAATAAAAATTAAAACAAAATTAACCAGAGGAATTTGTCCACATTTAACATTTTAACGATAGACGGATCAGATCACAATGTGCTACAACCATCAGCCTCAATGTTAGGCTTCTGTATACTGTAAAATTAGTAGGTATGGTTTGAAAGATTTCGACAAGTACAAGACTGCCGGCTTACTTAGGCAATCATTTGCTAAGCTTACAATCAGTTCTTTTTATTCTGTGATTGGCTAACACAGCAAACAATCCTGCTGTTGCCACTGTCCATGACAGCATGCCAAATCGGAGCATCAGATCTACTTATTGGCCTGCTATTTGTGTACAGTTCAGTTTACTTCAACCTAGTTATGGTTCATGATAGTCGAGAAGTAAGTACACGACTTCTACGCTTGTTTTTAATTGCTGTGTGGCTTTGTTTACTTTTAGTATGAATGGTTAAAGAATGTTTTCCTATGCCTTACTGTTCCTACACTTATTGAAAGATGATTAGATGAAGAAGGGCTGTTTAAGCAACGTTATTTTCCACATAGTTTATTGGCCCTATCGGTTCTGAGTCTATATATCAAACAGTTCATTGTTTGATTAGGCCTACGTGTATCCTCAACAATGCCTAAGATCTTTCTGACACGGTTTGTTCTTCTACTGTTATTTCATTAATCTTCACTATATTTTAGACAGTCTGCTGCTGTGGAAAAGCCCTATAATAAAATGCTCAAATGCTTTACTGCTTTGACAAAGATGGTTAAGAGATGATTGATTCACTTTATTGCATAAACTATTCGGTGGACAAGTTTAGCTAGTGACTACTTAGTGTGAATATTTCATCACACCTTTCGTAAACTATGTTGAATCACACATTTCAATTTGTAAACATTTAGGAAATTAAAATTATCCTCAAATTTAAAATTTTGACGGCGTGCGGAGTTCCGTATCCAATGCATCTTTTATTCCCTTCACGATGATGCGCCTTGATGTTTTACTTGGTGTGGACAAGAGCGTGATTCCATGCCAGTTCTTGCACAGGCCTAAGTTGCAGTTCTTTGGCAGCCCGACGAGGTAGCCATCCTTTTATCCAATCAGTAGGTAACTTTCCTTCTTTCGAAAACTTTTGCAGTAATGGCGTGAACTTATCTGGCGCAGTCTCTGGGTCCGTTTTCAGTGTTTCGGGGTTGGGAAATTCTGTCTGATCGTGCTGTCTTCCCGATCGATTTTCAGTAGGTTGATCGCATTTAGGATTCCTGCTTTCGTTGTAAGATTGGTGTCCTGTGGCAGGTAATTCTGTGCGTGCTGTTGGTGGTGATGTATTTCTGGCCGAGTTGCAGGTGATCGTCGATTCAAGAGTACTTTAAAGTGATCAGCCTATTGTTTTATTGGTTTCTCCTCCTTGATAATTAGGTTCCCTTGAACATCTTTCATAGTTTTCACCTGCGTTGATCTCTTCTCAGATAGACGCCTGTTTATCTGATATAATGGTCTGTGTTCTCTCTCTTTAACCTGTGGCCTGCCTGTTCTGCTTCAGTCGCCAGCCAATGTGTCGTAGAATCGTCTTTTGTCTTTCCTAGCACTCTTCTTCACTTCTCTATTCAGTGCAGTGTGCATTTACCTCCGCTTATTCATATGTTCCCCATCTTTGCATTGAGTCACCTTCTCTTTCAACATCCTCCTCTCCTTGCTTCTATTAGATTCCAGGTGTCCTTTGAGAGTAATTCCTTGTCTTGTCTCTTCTTTCTTCCTAGAACAGTTCCACACGTTTCCTTGAAAACTGCCTTCAGACAGTTAGTTCCAATGTTCTTCCACGCAGGTTTCTTCAAGCAAAACACGTTGCGTCTCCGACTTTGCTCTGATCTGATCTGTAGTGGAGGCATCCCTTGTAGTTCTGTCCTTCAGTTCCTGAATATTGAACTTGAATTACAGTGGCCTGTCTCCAGTTGTTCTTAAGGATTCCAGCTTCACCTTGAAGGTTCTCACACGTGCTCCCCTTCTCTAGTTTGTGTTCAGCAGGCTGCATCTCCGCTTCCTTGGGCAGCATGAACATGAAGTCTATCTGGTTTGTGGTACGTCCATCAGTCGAAATCCATGTTGCTTTGTGTATATCCTTGCGCCTGTACACGCTGCCTCCAGTTACCAAACCACTGAAGACGAACAGGTCTCCATTGTTATTCATTGCTCCGAGCGAGAGCATCTCAAACCATAATTAGTTCTCTTACTGTATTTCCTATTCCCAGTTCGGTCGGCATGGATATCGCTCATTAGGATTTCGATGTCGCCATTTGGGATTTTACCCATTACCTGTTGCAGTTGTCTATTGAAATCTTGCTTCTTGTCTTGTTCTGAGTCGTTTGCTAGCATTAGGCATAGAACTGTATAAATGTAACTTTCATTCATTTCTTTCCAGTCGAATTTTGCTGTGATCTTCATGAATGAGCTTAGTTCCCCACTGCAGAAGAGGTTTGGTCACTGTTGGTGTGACATCGTGGTAGCCACTTCCTCAATGTGTTGGTGGTTGTCGTCTGGGTAACGGGAGTAGATTAGTGACTCTGCATTTGACCATTTCGCTAGCTCACAACCATTTCACCTGTTTTCGACGATTCCGAGCACTTCTATGCTATATCGCCTGAATTCTTCGGCTACGTGAGGAACCTTCATTGACAGCTTCGTTCCTTGTAGGAACATTCCAGACCCCTTTGCTTAATTTTACCTTCATCGAGAGGAGACACATTGGCTGGCTAGTTTCCTGAAGGCTTTCACCAGTCCACGTCAATCATTCTTCCTAATTCAACAGAAGACAAAGTTTAATTTCAATAATTTTTCCTGTCTCTTGTTTTCTGTTGCGAGCGTGGGTGGGGTCGGCATTTACTGGACTCAATACGAGGAGGAAGATTCAGACGACTGAAGAAAACACTGAGATGGAGATGTTTTGTTGAAGGCCAATTTTCCACTCGGAACCCAAGGGAATAATAATAGAGTGTAATAGTGTGATTCACTCATTTAGGCTTCCATCAAATACTTCGTTAAACTGGTTCAACAAATATGATAAATTTTATCAAGCAATCTTTTTTTTCATTGTTAAAGACGACAAAAATTTATCCACCATAGTTTTGGCATATTGATGAGAAAAGTGATTATGTAGAAATAGGAACAAATATTTTTCAGTTCTGAAAACTAATTTATTACCCTAATTTCGTTTTGCAATTAATCAAACTCACCCTATTACAGGTATTATATTTTTGGAAGATTTTTTTATTTTATTTTCATTATAGCTTCATTCTATACAGTATTTCGGCACAACTATGGAGTTTTTATCATGTAATATCCGTAGCCAAAATTTAGCAGGCCGACCATTAATATCAGGTGTACATCGGCCGGGGATCGAACCACAGATCATGTGCGTGGTTGGTGAGCGTTCTAACCGCTGTTCCATTAGGACATAAAGGAAATGAAAGGAAGTGATTCAGTACAGTGGTGGTTATTTTCAACGGATTTCCTATCAAGCTATGCATATATATATATATATATGTATGTGTGTATATATATTTCTTTTCAAATAATAATATGAACACAGAAAACATAATTTTGACTAGAATCATCGTTAAATATTGAGTGACCAAATAGTATACACAATATTTACAACATTCCATCGGGTATATAAATCTTTAGAATTAATAAGGTCAGTAGACAATTTAAAAAAAATAATGTAACAAGGTGGAGGAAGAATTTGATCTCCTGGGAAAACTTTAATTTTTAAAAAATATCTGCCACGTTTTATAGACAAAAATATACTACCAAAACCGATGAAATGTCATGTGACATCTGCTCCAAAGAAAATGCTACATATGGACCTTAAATCCAAAAGTGACCTAGCTGTAGTTATCCTTTAAAGAAGGATCTCATAATCCCCTAAAATGACAGTTACTGCAGCATCGTTGATAGTAGCATCTCCTAGTAAAGCATCACTGTTTAATAACCGAAAGGAGATCTCACTGTCCACCAAGTTTATGTATGTCTATCAGTTCACCTACTCCTGTGGAGCAATGTATTTCAGTCATTCGATACGGGCTTTGTCCGAAAGGGTACAAGATGACTATCTCCAATGGTTACGAAGAGATGGGAATGGAGCTATAAGAAACGCATTATTTTAGCGTCCGGTCACTCTGTCTCTTTGACTAATTCTCGCAAAATTATTTATACGGCGAAAAATAACCTGTCAATATTATTACTTATTATATTACATTATGATTGTTTCCTTGGGTTCCTAGTGGAATATAGGACTTCAACTGCACGTCTCCACTTGCTTCTGTCTTCTGCTGTACTTTTCACCTGCATCCATGTTAATCCATACTGTTTCAATTCTTCTTCACACGATCTCCTCTATGTCACCCTTGGAAGTTCCACTCGCCACTTCCCTTTCGGGTTCCACTCGAGGGCCCGACGCTCGATGTCACCCAGCGGCCTCCTCAGCCAGTGTCCAATCCATCTCCACTTTCTCCTGCATATTTGTTGGGCGATTGGTTCTTGTTTTGTTTGTTCCCATAGTTTCTTGTTGGTGATTCTTTCCGGTCATCTGATCTTCAGTATAAAACGAAGACATCTGTTGATAAAGGTCTGCAACCTGTTGGAAATATTCTTTGTGACCCACCAAGTTTCTGATCCGTACAGAAGAACTGACTGACTTGACGTTTGTATTGAAAATCCGAATCATTTTGTTGTTGATGCTGAGTTGAGTGACGAAGATTTCCAGATTGGTTCCAGGTTGATGAATGTGTTTCTCTCCTTTCCGATTCTCGATTTGACATCCTCGTCCGTTCCTCCTCCTGTAGTTGAGATAATGCTCCCAAGATAAGTGAATGAAGTAACCTAGTTCAAATCCCTCCCTCCCGTTGATGGTGATTGGCGCTGGATGTTGCTGTTGTTGTTGTTGTTGTTGGTTGGTTGGTTATTTTCATAACCTCCGTCTTGTCTATGTTCACCTGGAGTCCTGTCTTTGCTGCTTCTTCGACCAGTTTGTCGGTTTTCGCTTGTAAGTCTTCGATTTTCTGTGACATCAAACATAAATCATCCGCGAAATCTAGGTCTTCTAGGTTCTTCACGTCCAGGATATCGCTGTCTTCTCGTTTCCCACTGTCTGACGCAGAATCCAGTCCACCACAATTAGGAATATCATTGGTGATAATAAGCACCCTTGTCTGTCTCCTGTGTTTACTCCAAACGCCTCGGTGACTTTTCCGTTGTGGATCACTTGACATATGCCGTTGTCTAACAGCCGTTGAATAAGGTTGATGAATATTTGGAGCACGCCGTAGTACTCGAGTAGTTTCCAAATTACTTCGCGGTCAACGCTGTCGAAGGCCTTCTCAAAGTCTATGAAGTTGAGGTAGAGGTTTGATTGCCATTCCATGCTTTGTTCTGTGATGATGATGCGTAGAGTTGCAATTTGGTCAGAACATGATTTGCCTTTCTGCAACAGAAATGACTCAATGCAAATACTAGAAATATGGAAGATAATATTACCACCAGTCAGTCAAATCAGAGGAGGATAATAAATAATCTCAAAATTCTACTTCAACTCAAGCACATCACAACATTCTAACAAGTTACTTATTATTTTGACTATAAAAACACTCGTCTTATTTCCCATTTGATCGTATTTGATTGATAACAATAATATTATTATTTCTGAATGTACTTTATCTTATATTACTAATTTTATTCAAATGTCTAATCATCAATTTCATTCATGTATATAAATGAAGTAGAAAGTTGTGTGAGTAGTGACTTGATGTGATTATGAGCGGCAATAGTTTGTTCTCGAAACGTGGTCATCAGTTAATATTACTTACTGTATAACAGTGTGTGATTTATCAAAATAAAATCTTATCTGTAATGTGCCCAAGTTTTATATACTAATATCAAGAGACCTTATTGCATTTGTTCTATTGGCTTATTTTCTATAATTTCCTTTCCTTATTCTTGTTTGAAATTGACTATTATACCTTTATGTTTTCTTTTAAAATTTTTATCAAGGTCTATGCATAAACCGAATTCAAACGTCCTGCGTCAGTCTTCTGTCAATGTATCATCAAAATCAATATCTCCTAATAAGGTACTATTAAATTATGTAATATTTTTTATTTATTGCTCCCGTTATGATCACTAATAGATTCTTTTGGTTTAGAAAGTATATTGCCCTTGGTTGATAAACCTCCACAGATATTCATAACTTGACAAATTCTTGTTATTCATAATCTAACGGTACGTCGATGGTTCAGCTGTAGAGAATGCTCGTCAATCACACGGAAGATCTAGGTTTTCATTCCCGATTGATGCACTCCTTGACGTTGGTTAGTATACAAGCCGATAATTAGCATGTACAAGAGGAAAGTTTGAGCGAGTGACTTGCAACCCTACCCTGTAGCAACAACAACACATCTGCTGAATATTCAAAGCTTGAAGCTCTATGTTCCACTCAGAACGCAAAGGAATAAGAAAGTCGTCGAGCGACAATTTTTGTATGCTATCAAGTTATCCCTTCAATAGCTGGCTTATATGCATCGTCTCGTCAGTTTCGCACGTTTCGGCCTTTAATGGGAAAGGGGCACACTGATCACTGAATCTCAACTCAGTTTTCGGTACTGCACCTGGTGAAGAAAGTATGTAGACTTATCGGATACCATCTTGAAACAACTGGTGGTCGTCTTTCTATTGTACTGTGATTTACTGACAAGTGATCTTTCGTTAAAATAACTTTGACCATATATCAGAAATACACTGGGACCAGTAAGCATATTTTAGCGTCATAAGAACACAGCAATAATGAATTCAAAGTGTGACAATTCTTTATAGGTTTTTATCCCGTTAAATATGAGTGAGACGGCATTATTCTCATATTTGAATTTTTACTCAACACTCAAACAAAAATAAGTTTGAATAATTATCATATTATTATTATCTCCTTTAGTTCCTAGAGGAACACAGGACTTCAGCTGAACGTCTTCATTGCATTCGGTTCTCTACCAACCTTTACACCTGGCTCCACGTCTACCCACATGCTTTCATCTCATCTTCACATGACCTTCTTCATGTCACCATCACACTGATGACCAACTCGTCGCTTCTCATTCGGGTTCCACTCGAGTGATGGCCTGGTGTGTGATGTCACTTGATCGTTTGTTTTTTCAGAGTATGGCTAATCCACCTCCATTTCTTCCTGCATATTTGTTGCACAATTGGTTCCTGCTGGGTTGGTTCGTTGCCAGAGAGAGATCCATTTGCCGATCTTTCCTAGCCTGTCATCTGATCTTGAGCGAAGTATTGAGCAAAGACAGCTGTTGATGAAGGTGTGTAGTTCGTTTGAAGTGCCCTTGGTGACGCAGCGCTGCGCCAAGTCTCTGATTCGTATGGTGAGTAGCACTGACTGCACATTGGAGTTGGAAATGCTGGTGTTATTTTTCATGCTGAGTGCTGTTGATCTCCACACAGACTTGAGAGTAACGAAAGCTTGCCTTGCTTTCTCGATGATCCTCGCTTTGATGTGCTCATCAGTTCCGTCCGCTTGTAGTTGAAACGACGATGCTTCCCAGGTAGGTCGGTAGGTAGGTAGGTAAAGGAGGTTGCTTCTTTCAGATTCCTCCCATTTATGCTGGCTAGTTGTTGTAGCTGTTGCTGTTGGCCAGGAATCTTCACTACCACAGCTGTTTTCTCTATGTTCATCTGAAGTAAGTCCTATCTTTGATGCTTCTTCTGCCAACTTGTTGCTTTTCACTTGCATATCCTCCAGTTTGTGAGAAATCAGACATATATATGTCATCGGTGGAATTCAGATCCTCGAAGATTTTTGTGTGGGTCAATTTTGTGCCTGTTTCCTCGTTTCCCGTCGTCTGTCACATTATCTAGTCTACTGCAATCAGGAATATCGTCGGAAGTTTGAATAATCAGTGGTTATTAAAAAGATACTTGTGCTGTAAATTTTCCTTAGTGATTAGGTCAAATTTACCGAGCTAGCTGCACTATTCTTAAGTCCAACTGCTCAACAAACTAACCAAGAACCTACTGCCCAAAAAAAGATTCAGAAGGAAATGGAAACAAACACTGAGAAGACTGTTGAGTGAAATCACATGCCAAACGTGCCCTCAAGTATAACCTCAGTGGGGAGCGAGGAGCTGGACATCCGAGGGTGATATAGAGGAGATCGTGTAGGGGAAGAAACGCCTATGTGCAATCGTAGAGCTAGCTACAAAAGACCACAAGGAACAGAATACAGTGGAGACGTACTGCTATGTTCTACTGGAGACTTACTTAATAGACGAATAATAATAATTATGAGAAACATAGGATTTGTATTTGGTACTAACTGAAAAAAAATTATGTCTATATCTTTGGAATCCTTTCAAAAATTTGGAGTCATCTGTTTTTCAAAGCTGACGTTAAAACTACCCTGCCTGACATTCTGTAAGACTGTACAGAATGAACTCAGCAATCATTAGGTTGTCATTAGTGTATTGTGTGTGTGTGTAGTGTATTTTATGCGGTGGGTTTGTTTGTTAGAGAAGTTCCAATGACCAATCTAATCGTCCTCATCTTCAGAATGTTTTACTAACCATCTTTAAACAGTTCTAGGGGTAAGTAATTTAATGAATGGACTGTATTCACAAAATGCTGCATTAGGAGTTGATTGAGGTTGCCTTCTATTCTATGCTTAATAAGATAGTGACTGAAATATTGAAAATTCTGCTTCTAACTTGGGAAATATTTCCATTTCTTAATAGCGTAGTCTTGATTTGAGTATATTTCTACATTATGTCACTACACTAGAGCATGTTGTATAGCGCTTAGTGCTAATCTTATACACTCTCAATGGAATTTGAATGATTATTCCATATTAGATAAATTTAGTTTTGCATAAAATACGGTGAATCAGTGTATTAATAACTGTATATTATTATGGCGAGTGGCACTTATGAGATTTATCAGTAGTGTATAAAGAGACGTTCATTGCCATAAAAAGACACCAAACAGTAGGGAGATACATTTGATTTCACAGAAGGCAAATGATACAGCGTTGTGGATATACATGTGAGACGTGGAAGGAACACAAAGAAACACAACTTGAGGTCACGAAATATAACACATTTGATCATTGGGAATTATAAAAAGACGGTTGCAGAGATGAAAATCTTCTTTTCGATAAAGTCATCAACTAGGTTGACTGTACATTCGTATATTTATAGCAGATGGGTAAGAAATTTCGAGAACTGTTTCTCGTCAAAGGTCAAATTAATAAAATCACAAAGTGTAATAAATACGAAGATCGGATACAGAATATATAGTAAGGTAGACAGGTTGTAGTATTATCCTAGAAATGCACAACGTGAAGTCCAAAAGTATCACAAAACGAAGATCTGTGCAAATGGTGCGTTGAAGATAAGGTGTACATAATTTGACTATATAGAGATACCAAATTGCCGATAATAACATTCCTTTACGAAGTCTTTGTCTTCTACTTTTTGTTTATGTCAGATTATTATTATTATTGTATCCTTTAATTCCTAGAGGAACATAGGGCTTCAGCCGTGCGTCTCCATTGAGTTCGGTTCTCTGCTAGAGTCTTCACCTGGCTCCATATCTGCCCACACGTTTTCATCTCCTCTTCACATGACCTCCTCCAAATCACCCACCCTTGCACTGACGACCAACTCGCCGCTTCCCTTTCGGGTTCCACTCAAGGGCTTGTCTAGTGATGTCACTTGTTGGTTTTCTCAGAGTATGGCCAATCCATCTCCATTTCTTCCTGCCTATTTGTTTCACAATCGGTTCCTGGTTGGTTCGCTCATTGCCAGAGATCTCTGTTGCTGATCTTTTCTGGCCGGCTGGCCATCTGATCTTGAGTGGTATTGAGCGAAGACAACTGGCTATTAATGAAGGTCTGTAGTTTGTTGGAGATGCTTTTTATGATGCGCCAAGTCTCTGATCCGTATAGTAGCACTGACTTCACATTGGAGTTGAAAATCCGGATCTTATTTTTGATGCTGAGTGTTGTTGACCTCCACACAGACTTGAGAGTAGTGAAAGCTTGTCTTGCTTTTCCGATTCTTGCTTTGATATCCTCGTCAGTTCCGTCCGCCTGTAGTCGAAACGATGCTTCCCAGGTAGGTAAAAGAGATTGTTTCTTTCAGGTTCCTCCCATTTATGCTGATTGTTGTCTGTTGTTGTTGTTGCAGTTGGTGGTGTTGCCCGGGAATCTTCATCACCTCTGTCTTCTCTATTTTCACCTGAAGTCCTATCTTTGATGCTTCTTCTGCCAACTTGTTGCTTTTCGCTTGCATATCTTCCAGTTTGTGTGTAATCAGACATATATCATCGGCGAAGTCCAGATCCTCGAAGTGTTTTTTGTGTGAGTCCATGTTATGCCTGTTTCCTCATTTCCCGCTGTCTGTCGCATTATCCAGTCTACTGCAATCTAATAGAGAATTATATTATACTAACACACTGCTCAAATTCTACCTTGACACGAATTTCAATTGCAACTATAAACCAAAGTCATTCGAAATTTCTGTCAACTTTATTTAGTTCTGGCTGTGAACCAGTAAGCACTTTTACTTCGATCTGAATTTCCACTTACTGTTTCCAAATGTTCAGTATTTAATCTATTTTGACATGATGTAATTGTGTTATGCTATTATGCAACTGCTTTCAGTTGGTATTGAGCCACGTCTATTGTGTATGGGTGGGCTGACTATATTACATGGTTGGCGAAACCTCGGTGCGTTGGATGAAGCCGGGTTGACTTTGTAACCCAATGGTTGTTGGAAGTCGCGGATCTGGACCAGTCAGCCGTAGGCACACTAGTCTTTGAAGTGATATCCACTCACATTAGAAATGTACTCAGTATGATTCAGTTGACGCATCTAATACCATACTTTTCATGTTACCTTACTGCATTTATTGTAAACTAATTACATACAGTACTGTAGGGACTCCATTATGGATAAGATTTTATTTTGATAAATCACACAGTGTTTGTTATACAGTAATATTAACTGATGACGTTTTGAGCACAAATTATTGCTCATAATCATATCAAGCTACTCACACAACTTTCTATCT